GGGGGGGGGGGGGGGGGGGGGGTGGAGCTTTTTCTGTGGTATGTATGATGCACGCTGTCGTAGTTGTTGCTGCCGTTCTTCCCGCGTCTCCTGTCGCTCCCTATTGGTAGTTCAACCCAGACGCCAATCCCGTATGCACAAGCGAGCCACGGAACGCGGTGCGGAAACTGGAGGACGTGGACATATTCGGATATTGACGAGTAAGGGGAGGAGGCTTTGTTGTGTTGTTGGATACTTGGCCGGCCGGAGGCTGATTCCGTTGGCCGCATGTTTTGTTTGTTTTGGTTTTTGCCTGTTCGCGGTGTTTGATGCGACCGTAGCGGTTTTGGTGGCTCTTGTTTCCTTATCCATACAACCAGGCTACTCTGAATGCTTGTGTCGTAAGGTGTTGACACCACGTGCGCTCGGTTGCTGTGTGTTCGTGCTTTCAAGGCCCGATCCCGTCGGGATTGTCGGCACTCTTTCGCTTGACGGGACACGTCCTTTGGGACACCCAGTTCACGATTGTCGAGTTGCGGTTTTCTCCATACTCATGGAGAGTCTGTTGTGCGCATCATCCACACACCCTTCGATTTTTTCTGAGGTCTCAAAAACGCAAGTAGTCACACTCACTCCACCACCCGCACGACACGACACGACACGACACGACACGACACGACTCGACCCACCCGTCCATGATGCCACTTCGATTATTTCGGCGTCGCGCTACCGCTACAGCAGAGGCTCGAGGTTACCGTAGACGCCTCGCTGCTTCTGCTGAGACTGTCGGGAAGGTTTTCCGCTGCGGAGGCGTCGGCGGGTGACGGGCTAGCTCTCAGCGTGGCTCTGATGTCCCTCTTGCCGCTGGACACGCGTCTGGAGGCTATTGAGGCATGTACATCATCTTCTCGGCGCGGAGGGGTGCTCATTTTTTGCATGCCTTCGCGGTTAGACAGTTGACCTGAGGGAGGGGTGATGTGTTTGTGATACCGCGGCTCCGACTGTTGTTGGCGGTAGAGGGCCCGACTTGCCAAGAAAAAAGGCGTTTCGTACTGAGAGCCGTGCGGCAGGAGTTCGATGCTCTGCTGTCTGTTGGTTTGCTGAGTTGTGACGCGTAGTGGTAGCCTCGTGGATCGGTGGTGGAGGGAACGCTTCAGCTGACGGCGATCTGATGCCGCCCTCTGTCCTCTCTCTGTGAACACCTTCTTCTTTACCTCTGACCCCTCTCCCACACCTTCCTGCTTTCTGCCATCTCCCCCTTCCGTCACGGTTTACCAGCTCGCCTTCAACCACTCCGCGCTCAACTGCACCATCCGAGACACACGAAGCACCGGCCCCGCTGGAGCGCCACCGGCAGCAGAAAACAACGACCCGCCGTCTTCTTCCTCCTGCCCAGACCCGCAGCAGCACTCGGCGGACTTGACGCTGCGGGCGGGGGGCCTTCTGACGGCCAACGTCGGGCTATGCTTACCCTGGTCAGCCTTGCCGTCCAGCGAGCCGCTGAGGCTGGTCGAGGCCCGGGTGCTGCTCACGAAGCGCGGTGGTGGTGATGTGGCCGCCGCCGCCGCCGCCGCCGCCGCTGCTTCGGGGGTGACTCTGTTGGTACCTTCCGGACAGGGTTCCGACATCGCGCTCGAGGGGGGCGAAGGCGGGGCCTGGGCGAGAGCGCCTGGGTTCGAGGCGGTGCGGCTGGTGCCTCCAAGGTTCGCGACGGATACTCTCTATTGCCGTTGTCGTTAGCTTTCCCTTGTCCTGTGTTCATCGGGGGAACCAATGCTTCTTGCCGGTATCGTTTTAATAGTAGTCGGCGCTTGGTTCTTTCTCGAGCTTCCCCTCTCTTTGTTACCTCGACTGCCTCCTTCATCTTCCTCCCTTCCCTCCTTTCCCCCCCGCTGTTTTTCCCATTCGGCCGTCAGAGCGAGAGCGCACGTGCGCATCGCCGAGCCTTCCTCGGTCCTCCTCGACCTTACCACACGCCTCCTTGTGACCGTGTCCAAGGCGCCCGTGGCCACTCCTGCTGCTGGTGCTACCGCAAAATTGTCCGAACGAAGCGGCGGCGGCAGTGGGTGCTGCGGAAAGCCCCCCCACCCTTTCCGAGGCGGGTTCCTCCACCTCGAATGCGAACCGGCACCGGTCCCGCCGCCGATAGTTTCGCCGCATTCCGCAACAACAGCCGCCGCTGGTGGGGGTAGTAGTAGTCAAGAGCAGCAGCAGTCTTCGGTGGCTCCGCCACCGGCAAGACCGCGGCCGGAACGCGCGTTTTTTTGGGCGCCGGCGACGACGGCGGCACGGACAGGGGGCGAGGATTCGTCGGTTGCGGTCTCCGACGGCAAGGGCGGCTTCTTGCCTGTCGTTGTGGGCAGCGACGGGCAGCCTTTGGAGGGGATCCCGCTCCCTCTGTCTTCCATCGACCCTTTTCGGGAGGAGGAGGAGGAAGTTCAAGAGGTGACGGTTCCCGTGTGGGTTCGGTCGGAGACGGCGGGAAAGGTGGCGATTCGGGCCCGCGTGGTGTACGGCTTGGGGGGCAAGTCGCCGGGGGCCGCGGGGGCAGCAGCAGCCGGCGGCGGTGGCGGCGGCGGCGAGGCGGAAGAAGGCGTCGCCGTGACGGAGTGGGCTCGCGCGGAGGTGCTGTGTGTTCGGCCGCTGGCGATGGCTGTCGACGTGGTCTCGGTGCCGGCGGACGAGGGCCGAGGGAGTCGTGGCGGCGGTGGAAACGGGGCCGCTGCTGCTGCTGCACCGTGGGCGTGCGAGCGGTCCGGTCACACGGTTGCAGTCAAGGTTTGTTCGTGGTCGGGGTGCAGAGAGAGGTACGAGTCTGAATGACGGGCTTGGTGGGGAGTGCACACAGTGATTTGGCACACGAGGGTGTGTACACAAGTGTTGTCGGCGGGGAGGGCGAGAGACTCGCAGGCGGATGCAGGGGGAGACGTTGGGGAAGGCACATGTACAGGAAGAGACGCGTTGAAGAGCGCATGATGGGGGGGAAGAGAGAGAGAGACAGAGACACACATGCGCGCACCATACACAAACCAGCTCCAGAGGAAGCGACCCGTGTCTGACCCGGACGAAATTTCCCCTCTACTTCTGACACCGTTATTCTATTTACCCTCAGTCTTGCCCCCCTCCTTCTCCGCTTCGCCCCATTGTTTCCTGCCCCACCGCCCGCTCGCTGGCTGCTGCTTCCCCCCCCCCCCCCC